GAATTGATCAGTATAATTAAGTTGAAGATTGAATAAATTGATGTAAAATACACAGATTTGTTTTAGGTCTTGAGAAGCAGCAGTTGGGGCCTATTACTGAGCTGATAGCATGCCAGAAAGAATCCTATTTGCTTCACTCCACAGAATCTTCTGCAATACTTCAGGGCATGAATTTCTGCCACCTTCCTGCACAGATAATGGTCACCAAACTGCTTACAGATCTGATTGGTTCATTAATCGCTAATTAGAAAACTAGTTCAACTGAAAAAGTAATAGAAGTCATCAAATTGTGGGGAGGGGAAAATGGAGGAAGAATAGAATGTAGGCTTTTGTGGTGATGAACCATTTGTTTGAACTCTGGTCTGTGGAAGGGATATCAAGACATTTCCTGCTTGCTCCAAGCAGGTTCTAGATTTGTACTCTTCCTCTTATTTTTCCCATTCCATTCTCTGTACTACTACTAGTTAGTCTTGCTCTTCAATTTAGATTCACCTTTGAGAATGAAGTTAATGTCTTATGCACACAAAGGTTTGTTTTGTACTTTTTTTACAATCTCACTCCTGTGTTTCTGTGTAGGAAGAACATGTCCTTTTGCAGCTGGAAGAAGGAATTGAAGCCCTGGAGGCTGCTATTAATTACAAGAATGAAAGTATTCAGAGTCGCCAGTACTTGCTTAGATCCTCTTCACAGATCCTTTCACAGAGTGAGGATAATGCAATAGGAAAACTAGTTTCCTTGTCTGCTGATGAGCTCAGAGCTATCCTCTTCAAATACTTTAACAAGGTTTGCTTTGGCTAATGATCAATATTTTATCCTATTACCTGTTATTGCACTAAATAGTTAAATGAAATAGTGTCAAGAAGTAAAGTCAATTTAATCCACTTTCCTTGAAAGCCTGCTTAGGTTACTCACATCTGTTGTTAATTTGGATATTTTGCATCTTGACATCAACATAAAAAAGGATGCTTTTCTATTACTTGTTTGTATCTTGTTTTGGTGTCATTAGCTTAAAAGGTGTTGCAACTCTGGAAATTTCCTTGCTCCTTTCCACTGCTTTATGCTGCTAACTTCTCAAGTAGCAACATATTTAAACAGTGGTGTCGTATTGAAATTCTTCCCACCTGCAGTCTTTATTAACCTCAGGATAGTATTTCTTTTTTCCAAATCCATTATAAAATCTTTCTGCAAACAAGCGCTTACCACCATATACTGAAGAATCGTAATGACACCTGGAAACATAAAAAAGAAATGCATTAGGACTTGGTGTCTCTCTTTGCCCATGGGTGAACCTTGGGTGATTTTGTGAACAAGTTGTCTGTGGTACACAAATTGGCAGTTTTCCAGAAACAGGAAAAAAACTCTTGTATCAGTTTAAGTTCTGCACAGGGCATTAAAAAATCCACTAGTCCATGTGATCAAAATCTACAGAGCTCAATTCTGAAGTGTGAACTCGTGTCAGCAGGCAAATCTGTTTCCAGTATAAGCTTACAGCTTATACAGACAATTGCTTTTGTATCCATTCATCTATTAAGCAGAACTGTAAAAGCATTTGTTGAAATGGTTTGATAGAAGTGTATTAGATTGTCTTAGATTGTTGGCCTGCGAGAGTCTGAACGTAAATTACAACTGCAGACTGAAGAACAGGAGATGAAGGTCATAGACCAGGAAAATATAATACGTGAATTGGAATCTGCACTTGAGCACATCAAGTTGCAGTGTGACAGGCAGCTGACTGCTACAACACAGAGAACATGAGAAAAAACTACAGTTGATACTGCATCATTTCAAGGGTGCTTGTTTGTTTTCCAAGGGGAATTGTACAGCAGATATTATCTTTAGTCACTGTTGAGAAATACTGTGTTTCATATGAAAGAAAAAAGAAGATATGAGGTAGAAAGATAACATTTTGGCTGTTACTAATTCTGATGTCGTGTAGGATGCTGATGAACAGACACAAGGTGCTTGTATAAAAGAAAAAAGCTGACCATTTTTAAAAAACGGTCAGAATTGTCACATTTTTATATTCAATTTGTTGACATTGGAAAGGTGAAAGATAGCAATCCCCTTGATCTTTATCCTCTAAATGCTCCTATTAAAATGGAGAATTGGGGTTGGCATGGGCTTTTTGCTCCTCTGTCATACTAGTTTAAATGTACACCCTGAAAGCAGAGTGTCAGCAAAATACAGGACATTCTCTAGCTGGGCATCTTGATTTTGGCACAGAGAAGTGAAGTGAAGATTTGATTCTCATACTAGTTTTACTTGCCCTAGAACAAGATGGTGAAGGTATTGCAGAAACCTTGAAAGAGTATGAAGTAAAAGTCCAGCAACTGGAAAAAGACTTCTTTTATTCTAGAGAAAACCAGCAGAGAGCTGAAGAAGAAATTGAAGGGCTTTTTTGGAGAGTCACCCCATCAACTAATGGCACCTACTAAATGTAAGTACATGATCTTAAAATGCTTTTGTGTTTGTCAGTAGATCATTTGAGGGGTAGCAAACAGACAGAAGTATATCAGATAGACATAAAACTCATATTTTTACTGAACTAACTCTTATCCAGGAAGGTACTACATCTCCCCACACTTGCAAAGGAGAGACAACATCAGTTTGTAATAGAGGCAGTGGTATAACACTGTTCTAAATTCGTGTTTGGTTTTCTGTGGATTCGAGCATAATTTCAGAAGCTACAGTCTCACACTGTTGTGGTTGAGAAAACGGTATTTTATGATCTGAAAGACTCTGAATGGCATTATAATTAACAAATGTGTAATATGCTATGCTTTTAGATGCCAGTATTTTAAACAATCAACTTGATTTTGCTGCCAGCACTTGATTTCATAGAAGTTATTTCTTGGAAGATTGTCAATGAGGAGGTCCATACTTCCAGTTAACTAAAATCATTCTTTATTAAGGTTAAAAGACCTAGATATTTGTAGTAAGAAGATAAGCTTCCTAATGTGATCTATGCTTTGACCAAAAAAAAAAAAAAAAAAAAAAAAGGACCAACAAACAACTATGAAAAGTTTTTTTGATTGTTCCAGGTCCTACTAACCACAACTCAAACTTAAAATGAAGTAGTTCTAGTGTAGAAGCAAAAATGGTTTAATCATTGTCATTATCTTGGTTGTCTTACACCTCACACTGCCACCACCACCACTTCACACGCACAGTGCAGCCTTCTTGGCCCCGTGTTTCGTCTTAAGGCTCAGCGTGACTCATTCTTCCTCTTAACTGATGGTTCTATTTCGTCACACTTGAGGTAGTGCCATGTCTTTGTAACACGTAGATGCTGGTCACATATGCATCTGTTGCTACCAGAGTGAATTGAGGTTTAGCTCTCCAGGCAGGATAATAAGCCTAGAGGTTCATTACTCGAAAGTATGCTGTGGACGGTGTGAACATGAATATTGCACAGGTTGGACTGTAAATGAGCATGGGGAAGATTATTCTGTGTCTAATACACAAAGAAGCATGTAGTCCAGGACATGTTTTGCTGTGAGGAAACATCCATCGCAGCCAAACTGTAGCGAAATGTAGAAGGGTGAATGTCCCTGTGAATTTCTAACTTTTTCAAATCCATATGTTTGTAACGTTTGTAAGAAGCGCTCAGTATTTTTGTATAATTACCTTTAGTTATCTTTCCTCTGAATATATTTTGGGGCATAATACAATGTAATAAAAAAGTGATGAGCTTTAAAAATAACAAAAATCCCTGTGTACATTAAAGTCACATTCAAAGACTATGTTTTGTGTGTTCTGCTACTGAAATTGCAGACTACTTTTGAAAATACGAAGAATTTCATATTTTACTGTCATGGTTCAGTTGTTTTAAGATTGCCTAAATTGCAAGTTAGAATGGTGAAGCTTGTATTACAAGCAAAGAGCCAGCGGAAAGTAAAAGACACAGTCTTTTACTTCCTCGTCTTTCGGGTCCTTAACATACAATGGTGCTAGCTCAGACCTAGGAATCACCAGTCTTTATCTTGTTCCCTGTCTCAAGTCCCCCCTTTTCTTGAGCCTAAGCAAATTCTTTGGCTTATTACAATCCTTCTTGATTAAAAGTTTTCATTAAATTCTTACCAGTTTTGACTTGGTGCTTGTTTCAGTTACACTTCCAGGTATCATAATCTAGTCCTTCATACAGCACCAAAATGCACATTGTACCACTACACAAGTCAAGACTACTACTCTTAAAAAGAAGATCAGGATTCCTCTAAACGATTGCTTAAGCCAAGAAAAGTTGGGTAACCAAAAAGGTGATTTTGTTGCATAATTCTCGAAAACCCCAGGAGGTGTCATCTTGAATTACCTTATGTAATCACCTTAGACTAATCACCTTATTACCGTAGTCTTTCCCCAAATGTTTTCGTGCTCAGTCTCAATTCCTCCTGCCTCATTTACACACATACAGCAACTAATATTGATTAAAGTGCATCCTTCCCCTTGGGAGGCAAATAAAAGGTCTAGTGCCTAAAACATTGATTTGTTCTAGTTGCTTGCACCAAACTGTAAGATGTTGTTGCAAATATTGGTTTCCGAAATGGGTTAGATCTTCTCCTTTGTCCGGCATTTGGTAAGGCCTGCCATCCAATATCTCCAAAGGGGCTTAGTTTGACCAAGTTTGCTCCTGGGGGATGGATGGAGCCCGTGGTAGGGAGCCATGTGGGAGCAGTGCTTGAGGAGCTGCTGCCTTTGGCAGCCCCTGCAGGCTCACTTCGGGAATCCCGTGTGAGGGATGAAGTTCTGTGTTTTTTGTTTTGTTTTTGTTTTGTTTTGTTTTGTTTTGTTTTTCTGAAGAAACCGGGTGTTTAAGAAGGAAATGCAGAGTTGCCTTTGTTTGGCACTCGATGGTCTTGAGGTCTCTTCCAACGTAGACATTCTGTGATTCTGTGAAGTCACAAACGCCAAGGCATCACACTGGCTGGCTCTGCAGCACAGATGCCAGGAGTGCTGCTTGGCATGGCGGCGGCGGCGCGGTGCCCCAGCCCCAGGCCCAGTCCCAGCCCCAGCGCACGTCGCCCTCCGCTCCCCCATGGAGCCCCCCGCCGCCTCAGCAGCCCCGTGGCGGACGCCCCATGGCAGAGCCGCCCCCGAGGAGAAGGAGCCCGCAGCCCTCTGCCCGCAACGCACCGCACTGCACCAAGCGCCGCGCAACGGCTGCCACCACCGCGGGGGCTCCTGGTGTGAGCGGCAAGCGGTGGCAAGGGGGGGCTGCGCTTCCTGAGTCAAGCTGCTGGACACCGGCTTGCCTGGGCAATTGCCCATGTTGCTGAGGAGGCAACAGAGCCAAAGCCCTTCGGGCTGAAGATCCAGCACAGCTGGGGAGGCTTTGGCATTTCTGCACAATGCTGCTCAATCCTGCTTGGGAGCCCAGCCTCAGGTGCGGAATGAAGCCAAGCAAGCTCGAGGGAAACTGTGTGCTGGTAAGTTGTCAGTTCTTGCTTTCTTTTTCATTCCTCACGCCTAAGAAAACCTAACTCTTTCAAGCACCTGTTTGAAGACACGGTTTGATGGACTTGATTCTGGGTGTGCTCCTTAAGCTTGTTCGGCAGCTGTTGAACCCCGCTACACTTGCAGGAGACCTATGCTCGAGTTGATGCTTGCTGTGATCAAGCGGTGTTCTTTTGCTCTTCTTTGCTTTGGGGATGGTGGGTGAGGTTGCAAAGAGTTTTCAGGAGGATTCTTCTTTTCCTTTGCAGAATCCCAGACTGCGTATTAGAGCTGCTCTTCATCTCTGCTCGGAAAAGCTTCACGGGCCAAAAGAGAATGGAGATGAGGAAGGCAATGGAGAATGATGAGGACTATTTGCAGTCAGCACCCGTAAGCTTTGTGAAAGAATCAGGTGCATTTCTGTAGTGGTAGAAAGCGTAGCTGGAAAGACTTCCTAAGGACGTCAAGTCCAATTCATTGTTCTCAGTTAGAGCAATCCCGTAGTTTAGACTCCTGATAAGGTATTTGTCTGTAGGCAGCTGCCAACTTGTCCAGCTAATCCAATTCAGCCTGGAAAACAAGCAAGCAAGCAAGCAATCAAAAGCACAGAAACCTGCAGTTTATGGAGTGCAACTGTCTCCTTTCTAATCTCATGGGTTTCACCAAGTTTTGGGTGACTCCAGGGCTGGCTTGCCAGGGAGACTTTCTTGAATTGCTGGCAGATCAGCCAGAAGGGCAATACAAGGCCCTGGCTAAACACAATCTGTAGGCTGCTTCTAGATCAACAGTTTCCTTGGTTACTCCACAACCTCCACAATCTCCACTTGCTTCGAAGCTGTGAAGATTGCAAGTCCACTTTGTGTTTTTCAGCCACTCTGTGTCAAACGCTAAGAGTTTTCACTGGCTGTTAAAACAGAAAGGACAAAGAGCCCCTCCTCTGGGTCTTCAGAAGGCTCCTAAGATCCCCCAGACTGGCTAAGTAGCGACGCTCTAGTATAGATGCATCTAGATGCAGTAGAGCTAGATGGTGGGAGAGAGGCTCTAGCATGGACGTGACACGCTTTGACAGCATCTTTTCTCTGACAGCAACTTCTGCCTTGGCTCTTCCCATCAAGCCAGAGCAGTTTCTTGGCCTGCGCAACCTGCAGACTGACCTCTCGTGTGTATCCGTGCTGGACTGAGGGTAATGTTTGGAACACACACTGATGCTGTATTCACTAGAACTTTGAGAAGAGAGAGCAAGAAGCTAACCTGCATACGAGTTTCTTAGGTTTCTGTAGAGAGAGGGAGATATACATGCATACATATTTACTTCTGTCTTTACTTCTTTCAAGATAGCTTTTGTTCTCCAAAATGAATCCTCTGACTGTTACTAACGTATGGGACACACCTTGACACTCTAATGGCATAGAAATACTTTTCAGCTCATCCTTGCTATTGTTTCTGGATTGAAAAAATAATTGTGAATATGATTACCTGCTTGGAATCTTTTTTTTTTCTTTTTAATATATACCTATTCTATTATGAAATCCTATAAAAAGGAGTGAACTCAAGAGGAAAAAAAGAAAGAAAACAATTTTAATTCCACTTCTAAATTAGATATCTAATCCTGATATTCACTCCCTTCCAAACAGAGCTCAACAAATGAAACAGTAAAAAATGCACATAATATTTCTTCTATCCCAAGATTTCATGGCACAATAGTTCTTTGCTTAACCCTGCAATAGCCCCATAGGAATTGCAATTGCTTACTTGTTGTTCTCCTTTGCTTGTGTTTAGTGTTTGCTTTTCTAATGTTACAACATTGGATTGATTTACCTCCTTAGGTATCAAGAGAAGAAGGCATTTGCTTCAGAGGACAGTACTTTGATGCTTTCCAGGGCTAATGGCCAAAGTTTTCAAAGCACTTTTTTTTTTTTTTTTTTTCCCCATCAGTGATTTATACATTTGTCAATCTTTCCATCTTCATTTACAACTCCGAATTTAGGTTTTAGGTGAACAAGAACCCTGAAACCAGCTGAAGCCATATCAGACATGAAGCCATATCAGACATAGTAAGGACATGTGTCTGTGAGGAAGTAATTCAGAGTGATTCTCTGGTGTCCTTTGGACAGCTTTCCTCTGGTCCTCTGCACTAAGCATCCCCAAGGGATATTTCAAAGCTCTCGGAATGATCTGTCATTCTCTCTTCCACTGGAGTCTCCATTAGAAAAGCGTGACTATTCCTTGCCCATGTGGAAAAGAAGTCCTCCTTGAGTTGTTTCTAAGCAAAACCTCTTTCTTGTGTTCTATGGACAGAAACCACTTGGCTAGACAAACTCAATCATTGCAAATGGAAGGAGTGGAACTGCTTCAGCACCGTGCTTCGGCTTCTAAGCAGAACTGTAATGTAGGTGGGGACGTAGCAAGAGGACATGGCCAAGCCAGGGTGGACTTGAAAGTGCCGTGTCCGAGCCACAGCAAGAAGTCCGTGATTGCCACTTGGAGACTGCTGCTCACCTAGTAGCACAGCAGCTGGAACGCTTCTGGATACTGCTGATGGATTGCCACGAATCAGGCAGTGACACAAGCTACGAGAACGACGGAAGTGACTGGAAGTGATGCTTCTCCCTGTTCTCCATTGCAATTTGTGAAAGAAAGGAGAAGAGAGGAGAAGAAGAAAGGAGAAGACGGGAGGGAAGGGGAGGGAATGAAGAGAACGGGAGGGAGGGGAGGGAAGGGTAAAAACGAGAATGGGAGGGGAGGGCAGGGGAGGGCAGGGGAGTTCTGGGAGGGCACTGGAGGGCACGGGAGGGCAGGGGAGGGCACGGGAGGGCAGGGGAGGGCAGGGGAGGGCAGGGGAGCAGAGTGTAGTGGAGTGTAGGGTAGTGTATGGTAGTGTAGGGTAGTGTAGGGGAGGGGGATTGTTAGGTGAGGAGAGTGTAGGGGAGCGTAGGGGAGGAGAGTATAGGGAAGTGTAGGAGAGGAGAGTGGAGTGGAGTGTAGGGAAGGGGAGTGTAGGGGAACTGAGTGAAGGGGAGGGTAGAGGAGCAGAGTGTAGGGGAGTGTAGGGGAGCAGAGTGTAGTGGAGGTGTGTGTAGGGGAGTGTAGGTGAGGAGAGTGGAGTGGAGTGTAGGGAAGGGGAGTGTAGGGGAACTGAGTGAAGGGGAGGGTAGGGGAGCAGTGTGTAGGGGAGTGTAGGTGAGGAGAGTGTAGGGGAGTGTAGGGGGGGGGAGTGTAGGGGAGCGTAGGGGAGGAGAGAGTCGGGGAAGGAAGTGGAGGGGAGGAGAGGGAAGGGGAAGGAGGGAATATTGCCTTATTTGTTGCCTTTTTACTGTCTGTGTAGAGCCGTGACAGGCAAAATAAACTATGTTGGTGAAAAGGACGTCATTGTCTGGTATGATTCCTACTCCCCCAGTTTAAATTAATCAAGAATAATCTGCTCCTGATTGAGGTCTTCCCTTACTAGTGCAGTGCTAGGACCTACATGCTCAATGTGCTGAGGATGTGCAAGAGAAGAGTCTTAGAAAACAGTCAAGTTTGGTTCACGGTACTAGATTTAAAGGATGCCTTTTTGTGCCTGCCTGTGACACCTGAAAGCCAGAAACTCTTTGCCTTTGGATGAGAAAATCCTCACAGAGAATGAAAAACTCAGCTCATCTGTCATTTTTTAGTCACACACTCTTATTCATAAAGAGATTAATTTCTTAATGAATTCTATGTTCTTGAAATGCTTGAAATATGGAATTTCTGTCCAGTGAGACGTTTCAATTTTGCAGAAAATATATCCCAGATAACAAGGAGAAAAGGAATACTGTGTAGTTTATTGTCTGTGTTGGTATTGTTATTATCATTATCGTTATTATTTTAACAGGCTTCACTGGTTTTGTTCACTAAAATCAACCTTGAACTTATGCTTTTCAGGTATTCCCAGTCTCTCTCTTGTTTCAGAAATGTTAACTTGTCCTTCAGAGTTACAAGAGCTTTTGGCAAGTTAGAGTCTAATATTTCAGAGTCAGGGAACACTCCAGCTACAGGAAATCCACACTTCAAATACAGAACCCGGTGCAGCCAGCACACACGTCGCCCAGGACCGGAGCCCAGGGTCCACATCCGGACGCCTGCCACTCTGGACTGTCTGAATCCCCGGTCCCTGGGACTGCGTAACTTTGAGCCGGTGAACGACAGCCTCCACTTCACGACACGGCTAGCAGCCACAATGCTTATGGCCGGACAACCGTGTCATAGAATCTCCTTCCCCGAGGCGCCCGAAATGGGATCCAGACCCCGGTGCGGCTAGCACACCCGACACCCAGGATGGAGCCAAAGGGCTCGGGAAGCTGGACCCACGCTGCCCGTGGAGGGACACTCGTGTCCTGCGATCGAAATAGTGGAGCCGACCGAGGTCCGACCTGGACCTAGTGCGGCTAGCATATACGTCGCCCAGGACTGGAGCGTGGGTGTCCGGGACGGACGGCTGTGGCTCCGGAGAGGACAGAACCCCATGTCCCCACGACTGCCAGCCCACGAGGCGGCGGATGACAGCCTCATGCTTCGCGGCAAGTCTGGCTCCCATGCCGCTCGTGGCCGGACAACCGTGTCATGGGATCGTTCTCCCCAGTTCGCCCGAGAAGGGATTCTTACCCCTGCGCGGCTAGCATATACGTCTCCCAGGACCAGAGTCTAGGCATTCGGGAAGGACGGTCGCCGCTCCGGACAGGTCAGAACCGGTGTTTCGGGGACGGACAGTTCCCGAACGAGCGGACCACAGCCTCCTGCTACGCGGCAAGGCTGGCACCCACACCGCTTGTGGTCGGACAACCGTGTCGTAGGATCTCCTTCCCCGAGGCACCCGAAATGGGATCCGGACCCCGGTGCGGCGAGCACACACATAGCTAGGGACCGTAGCGTGAGTGTTCGCGACAAACGGCTGCGGCTCGGAAAGGACAGAACCCCAGGTCCCCGCGACTGCCAGCGCCCGAGCCGGCGGATGACAGCCTCACACTTCGCGGCATGGCTGGAACTCACAATGCTTGTGGCCAGACAACCGTTTTGTGGGATCGTTGTCCCCAGTCCGTCCGAGACGGGAGCCGGAACAAGGTGCGGTAGCGCACGCGTCGTGCAGGAGCGGAGCCTAGGCGTTCGGGAAGGACGGCCGCCGCTCCGGACAAGACAGAACCACTGTCTCTGGGACGGACAGTTCCCGAGCGAGCGGACCACAGCCTCCTGCTACGTGGTAAGGCTGGCACCCACACCGCTTGTGGTCGGAAAACCGTGTCGTGGGATCACTTTCGTCGAGCCGCCCAAGGCGGGGCTCGGACCCCGGTGCGGCTAGCACACACGTCGCCCAGGATAGGAGTGTGGGTATTCGGGACCGACGGCTGCTGCTCCGGACAGGACAGAACCCTTGGTCCCCACGACTGCCAGCCCACGAGTGAGCGGATGACAGCCTCCTGGTGCACGACACAGCTGGTACGCATGCAGCTCGTGGCCGGACCACTGTGTCGTGGGATCTCCTTCCCCGAGCCGCCCGAGACACAACCTGGAACCTGGTGCAGCCAGCACACACGTCGCCCAGGACCGGAGCCCAGGGTCCACATCCGGACGCCTGCCGCTCTGGACTGTCTGAATCCCCGGTCCCCGGGACTGCGTAACTTTGATCCGGTGAACGACAGCCTCCACTTCACGACACGGCTAGCAGCCACAACGCTTATGGCCGGACAACCGTGTCGTAGAATCTCCTTCCCTGAGGCACCCGAAATGGGATCCAGACCCCGGTGCGGTGAGCACACACATAGCCAGGGACCGTAGCGTGAGTGTTCGCGACAGACAGCTGCAGCTCGGAAAGGACAGAACCCCAGGTCCCCGCGACTGCCAGCGCCCGAACCGGCGGATGACAGCCTCACGCTTCGCGGCATGGCTGGAACTCACAATGCTTGTGGCCGGACAACCGTTTTGTGGGATTGTTGTCCCCAGTCCGCCCGAAACGGGATCCGGACCGCCGTGCGGCTAGCACACACATCTCCCAGGACCGGAGTCTAGGCGTTCGGAAAGGACGGCCGCCGCTCCGGACAGGACAGAACCGCTGTTTCGGGGACGGACAGTTCCCAAGCGAGCGGACCACAGCCTCCTGCTACGTGGCAAGGCTGGCACCCACACCACTTGTGGTCGGACAACCGTGTCTTGGGATTTTGGTCCCCAGTCCGTCCGAGACGGGAGCCGGAACAAGGTGCGGTAGCGCACGCGTCACGCAGGAGCGGAGCCTAGGCGTTCGGGAAGGACGGCCGCCGCTCCGGACAAGACAGAACCGCTGTCTCTGGGACGGACAGTTCCCGAGCGAGCGGACCACAGCCTCCTGCTTCGCGGCAAGGCTGGCACCCACATTGCTTGTGGCCAGTCACCCGTCTCGTGGGATCACTTTCGTCGAGCCGCCCAAGGAAGGACTCGGACCGCCGTGCGGCTAACACACACACCGCCAAGGATAGGAGCGTGGGTATTCGGGATCGACGGCTGCCCCTCCGGACAGGATAGAACCCTTGGTCCCCATGACTGCCAGCCCACGAGCGAGCGGATGACAGCCTCCTGGTTCACGACACAGCTGGTACGCATGCAGCTCGTGGCCGGACCACTGTGTCGTGGGATCTCCTTCCCCGAGCCGCCCGAGACAGAACATGGAACCCGGTGCAGCCAGCACACACGTCGCCCAGGACCAGAGCCCAGGGTCCACATCTGGACGCCTGCCGCTCTGGACTGTCTGAATCCCCGGTCCCCGGGACTGCGTAACTTCGATCCGGTGAACGACAGCCTCCACTTCACGACACGGCTAGCAGCCACAATGCTTATGGCCGGACAACCGTGTCGTAGAATCTCCTTCCCCGAGGCGCCCGAAATGGGATCCAGACCCCGGTGCGGCTAGCACACCCGACACCCAGGATGGAGCCAAAGGGCTCGGGAAGCTGCACCCTCGCTGCCCGTGGAGGGACACTCGTGTCCTGCGATCGAAATAGTGGAGCCGACCGAGGTCCGACCTGGACCTAGTGCGGCTAGCATATACGTCGCCCAGGACTGGAGCGTGGGTGTCCGGGACGGACGGCTGCGGCTCCGGACAGGTCAGAACCCCATGTCCCCGCAACTGCCAGCCCACGAGGCGGCGGATGACAGCCTCATGCTTCGCGGCAAGTCCGGCTCTCATGCCGCTCGTGACCAGACAACCGTGTCATGGGATCGTTCTCCCTTGTTCGCCCGAGACGGGATTATTATCCCGGCGCGGCTAGCATACACGTCTCCCAGGACCGGAGTCTAGGCGTTCGGAAAGGACGGCCGCCGCTCCGGACAGGACAGAACCCCAGGTCCCCGCGACTGCCAGGCCACGAGCCGGCGGATGACAGCCTTCCGCTTCGCTGCAAGTCTGTCTCCCATGCCGCTCTTGGCTGGACAACCGTGTTGTGGGATCGTTGTCCCCAGTCCGCCCGAAACAGGGTCCGGACCGCTGTGCGGCTAGCACACACGTCGCCCAGGACCGGAGCGTAGGAGTTCGGGACTGCTTCTCTGCAAGTCTGGCTCCCATGCCGCTCGTGGCCGGACAACCGTGTCGTGGGATTGTTGTCCCCAGTCCGCCCGAAACGGGATCCGGACCGCCGTGCGGCTAGCACACACGTCGCCCAGGACCGGAGCGTCCTTCATGACACGGCTGGCAGCCACAACGCTTATGGCCGGACAACCGT